GGCTAAACTTTGGAACAGGAAATGGCTTGGACCCTTCCACAGATTATAAAATGGCAGTAGTTACTTGAAGAAAAAGCTTTCTAAAAGAATGTAGTTAAAAAAAAGTTTGGAAAGCACAATATTTGTGTCTGTAAATGAAAAACTGCTGCTAGACGGCAAAAATTAAATCCTAATCCGGTTTTTGGAGAACCTGAAAAACTTGTGAATGTTTAGAACCAGAGTTAATTCACATAGTTTGGCAACTTTACAGCCAAAGTGCCAGATGACCCTTGAAGTCAATTTAATGGGACTTGCTTGTGTTTGCTTTCAAGGAGTTATTTTGATGATGTTGTTTACCATTGGCTTTCTTTAGTTATAACATGTAGTGAAACTTGGTCCCATATACCTGCTTGAGGTGAATGAGCCTTTTTTAAACAACTAGCTCTCGTACAAAGCACAGGATTTGGTAGTAATGGAGGACTTCAGCTACCTAGGCATCCATTGGAAAAATAATATAGTGCACAAATTATCCAACAAGTTCTTGAAATGTATTGGAGATAATTATTTTTTTTGTCAGAAGGTGGAAAATAGTGCCGGGGAGAGTCTGTTCTAGATTTGATGTTGAAAAATAGGGAGAAACTGGTTAAGAATTTGAAAGTGGATGGCAGCTGAAGGAAAAGTCCATATGAAATAGTAGATTTCATGATTCTAAGGAATGGTTGGAAGGGAAAATGGCATAATAAAGATAATGGATTTCAAGAAGGCAGACTTTAGCAGACTCAGAGCTGATAGGCAAGATCCTGTGGGAAGCAAGTCTAAGAGGGAAAGCAGTTCAAGAGAGCTGGAAGTTTTTCAAACAGACATTATTAAGGGCCCAAGAGCAAACTATTGCACTTTATAAGAAGTATGTCTAGAGACCACTTTGGCTTAACCAGGAGATTTTGTGGGCTTTTTTTTTTAAAATTTTAGAGCATTCAAGAAGTGGAAACTAGGTCAAATTACAAAAGATTAATATAAACAAATAGCACAAGAATGTAAGGACAAAATTAAAAAGTCAAGTTACAAAATGAGATTAAACTAGCTAGAAATATGAGTGATACAAAAAAATTCTACTAACACATTGGAATCAAGAAGATGACCAATGAACAGGAGCAGGCCAATTACTCAATCAGGAGGCAAACTAGAACAGAAAGGCTTCATCTAGACTACAGGCTTTTGTTGACAGAGGCTTTGTTGACAGATACTGTCAACAAAGCTTCTGTCAACAAAGAGTGTCTAGACTACATCCAGTTCAGTCGACAAAGCAAGCCGCTTTGTCGACATGGGAGTGTAGACGCAAAGGACAGTGTAGATGCAATAACACTTTCTGTCGACAGAACTCTGTTGACAAAAGGCGTTATTCCTCATAGAATGAGGTTTCTTGCCGTCGACAAAACTGCTGAGTTCTGTTGACTTTTGTTGACTAAACCCTGTAGTCTAGACATACCCAAAATGTGGAAATGGCAGAAGTGCTAAATAACTTTTTTTGTTTTTTGCTTAAAGGGTTAGTAGCATTTAGACATCTACCATAGCGAATGCCAG